ATAACATGCAGATTTTTTTCCCCCCACGACTAATCAATTAGTTGAAGATTATGTGGGACTTTAGTCGACCACGATTTTCTGTGGTTGACTACAGCCCTAGTTATAGTCACCTAAAAAGCGCCAGCAGATGGCAGGAGCTACATTCGAAGTACCGTACGCAAACATACAAGTCACCGAATCCTCCACAACAAGTTCCTACAAATGTTTCACAATAAAAGCCTATTTAGAAAATGGAAATTTACTTTATGATTACTTACTTTATGTCTGTCTCCATTATGAAGAAATAACATTGATTGCTAGCTTGATGCTAATGGCAGTACTCAGCAGGTTGACAAAGTGCCTCTGCTGTTTCCATTTTTACTGTGTAGTAATGTCCCTAGAGGAAATATTAAAAAGGCTGGGGTGTTGATGCCCTACAGTTGTCTATGGCAGCAGCTAACTCTGTCTTTCTACTGGTCAAAGTGACGGCTGTGATGGGAGTAATCGTGAACAACAAAAAGAAAATCAAACATGCTAGACTTTCTGTTAGACAGAAAGTACATTGTGCTCTTTATTTTATTTGTTTTTCGAAATAAAACTTGGTTAAATTATTTCAGTGTGTGTGAGCACTTTTTGAACATTTTGAGCACAATTCAACAATACCGCGATAATAATGATAATCGTGATAATTTTGGTCACAATAACCGTGATATGAAATTTTCATACCGTTACATCTCTAATACAAACAGTCCATGGAACGACTTCAAGGAGTGATAGGTCCAGTGTGTAAGATTTAGGAGGATTTAGTGGCATCCAGCTGTGAGGATTGTCCCAGCTGAAACTTCTCTTGGTTAGAATTCCTTAAGTGTTAGTTGTTCGGGAGGTTTTACTGGGAGCTGAATTATACCAGAGGTCTCTTCCTCTCTGAAACACACAGACCAGCTGAGTTAAACCGGTAAAGTCATTGAACAAGGCAGTTTCAATTTAAAAAAAAAAAAAAAAAAAATCAGTGGTTTTCTGATGTTCTACTCGTGGAGGGGCTTCTAACTACAGTGGTAAACGAGAAAATGTGAATGTTTCTACTTAGAGCCAGTGTTTGGTTCGTACGTTCTGGGGTACTGTAGAAACATGGTGGTGCAACATGGTGATCTCTGTATAGAAAGACCTGCTCCCTATGTAGATGTAAACGGCTCATTCTAAGGTAACAAAAACATGATTATTTTTATTTTCAGGTGATAATACACTAAAGAAAACAGACTTATTATATTATATTTAATTTCTGTCAATAAATCCCATTGAATCCTACACACTGGAGCTTTGACAGAAACAGCTTTGCTGTGGGTGTTGCACATTTACAGACATGTAACACTGACATCCACATTGTTTTAATGATTTGTTCAGTCCACTGACACAAAACACTTCTGTCCTGAGAGAGGTGCCTAAGTGTCCTTATTTTTGGCTTGCATTAACTGCTGCTTCTTTATTAAATACCAACAAGAACATGCATTCAGCACACCTGTGTAAATATCCAGGATGGCAGATAAATGTTCAAGGAAGTGCGACTGCTCACAGAAGCCACACTGATGCCTCCGATATGTGTGCTTTTAAGTTTGCGTTAGTGCACATGATGGCTGTCCTGCCATCTTAAAGAGCCATGGCTGTGAGTGCTCTAAAAGTGAGTTAGGGTTACAGTGTCACTGTACATTGCACATTTAATTGCAGGATCTTTATAGTAAACAGTTAAACAGGAACGCAGAATCTATCCATTCTGACTGTTCCCTCCTCACACTTCCACCAGCTGAAACCAACAGACTTAACACTCCTCCTCCACAATGGTGTGCAATTTTAGTGTGTACTTATGTAACAGATGTTATGTGCAGTGTACAACATTAACTTTTTGACCCCTCAGCCAAGGGGATGTGTAGATGAAAAAAGCCAGAATAACCGTTGTGAGCAGGAGCTGAAAGTGGCAAGTGATAGTTCAGTTGATTTCTAACATGAATGTTTTTACTGGCCAAACTAGGCACATGGGTCTGAATTTAATTTCTTATTACTTAAAAATGCTGAAGAAGAACAACTTCCAAATGGTCTCAGAGGTATCGGGGAACCTGTTGATCAAGGATATTATGGGGTTTGCAACTTGATTTGATCTTTTAAAGGAATTTTTAAAATACGCCTATGTAGAAAACAATTGGTTGTTATGATTTTAGCATCTAATTATCAAACATACTGTAGCGAAACAACAAGAAAGTGATGACAAATGCAGGGAAAAAAAACAACAACCTTCATGGCCATTCAAGTATGGATTACTGAGTTTACAAGGTGCACTTTAATGCAACATGGTCTGCGTCCACACGCTTTGCCATACAAAGCAATGATTTCAGAATTTGAACCATAAAATCCCCGTCACTGTCTGGGTGTGTAACTCATCACTGACACAGAGGACAGAAGCAGCACGACCGTAGATACCACAAAAATGTTGTAGAAACTCTGAACACATTTAAAATATAACGTGACTATTTTTAGGAAAACATTCATCCACCAGTATGGTGGATAAATGTTTTCCTAAAAATCTATCTGCATTTGGCGTTAATTTTGGACCCTAGTTATATAGTTACGTTTTTTTGGTTGTCTTCATATTCTATTACGTGCTCTGGGTCTAAAGCTATAGTTGGTAATGTTGGAGAGCTAGCAAGATTTGAAAGTGGCACCTCCTCTAAGCTCCACCACCCTCCTCCCCCTCCCGTCAGTGCCCCGCCCAAAGCCACACCCCCACAAACTTGAACGCGCATCCTGCAGTACACCGACAGAGAAGCTAATGTTAGCATTGGGCTAATATGACCTACAAAAGTAGCTAAATTGGCTAACGTTACATATTCCATGAAAATAACAAATCCCCCCGAAGCAAAACAAATAATTACCTGTCTAACAGAAAGACGGCAACCTCTGCATCACTTTTCAGGCCCTTTAGCTCCCTCAGTTGTCTCCACCGTTCAAAAGCTGCAATGTTGGTTGACTCTGGTTTGTCCTCTCGCTTTATCCAAAGCCTTTTTCGTCGCAGCCTTTTCTGCCTCCGAATTTCTTTTCTTAGCGGGGCGAGCCGTTACAAGTAACACTGGAAGTGGTACTTTTGGCTGCATTTTCTCTGCCATTGTTCAGCAAACTTATTCTCCTGCTAACTCGGTATTTCTGCTGAGGAGTGTGCTGAATATTTCCAGCAAAAGTGACACATGATGAGTGCACGCAGAGAGGAGGGAGGGACAGAGGGGGGCATGGGCAGGACCAGAGCGATATATAAGGACGAGACATGAAGGCATCTGATTGGTTCTTTCCACTCGCACCAAGAGGCAGGGATTGGTCAGAGTTTTTACAGGCCTACAGCTGCCACAGAGGTCGGATTTTTTTCGTTCCTTTTTCTGAACACATTATGTATTGACTACTGTCAGGATGGAAGAACCATTTCACCCAGTATAAAAAAGTGTTTCTGAACAGGATTACCAACTACAGCTTTAATGTGTGCTAAATGTCTGCATCCCACTGGTGCACAACTATTTGCCCCACAGGGGACAAATTGAGTCACTGACTGATAAAGGAGCTTGTCCCCAGTGCTGCTTTTTCTTCCATGATCTCAACATTTACAACACAGTCACTTTTTAGAGTCTGGCCATGTTTATATACTAGTATGTTTAATTTGTATTCTGTAAGATGATATTCTGATGTTGGCAAGAGATGATTCAGCCTTGATGTGTCCCTCAGTGGATAAACTGCTTCATCTTTCAGGTACAAAGTACACAAGGATGTGAGGAACGCAGCATGCATACAAACAGGTTTCAGTAGTCATTTCCACTGTGGATCGGGTTCCCATGTGGTGTAATTAGCCAGATTAGCCGAGTTCTCCTTCTAATGGTGCTATGATCTCTGTTTTATATCTTTTCTTAATCCCTCCTTGTTCTTTTTTGTGTGCTGAAAGTAATGTGCAAATCATTTAGGTGACATTACCAGGCTTCTCACTTTTAGCTGGCACTGACCACCGCTTTCAGTGGTTGAAATAAAAACTGACAGTCGTCTGGCAGCAGATTACCTGTGGCTAATTCACCTAATTTCTGCGGTTACCTTAACAACAACAACCAAGCCAAGTGGAGAGAAATATCACTGGCATCACAGCCACTTCTCTAATCACTACTTACTAATCACTATTACTTACTTTGGTGACGTATATCAACACTGCAGCTTCACAGCCAATAAGGCTGTTTGACCATCCCATGCTCTTTCAGGTGGGAGATTTTTCAGATGAAAGAAGTGCAAGAAAGAGAAACTTGCTCTAGAGTCCACCTTGGACCACTGAGCACTAAGAATCAAGCTAAAGAGTTTAAGCAAAAGCAAATGTGCCCATGAGCTCCTATGTTTGAGTGTGTATGTGGGAGGGCACTGGAAAAAAGAATTTAAAGACACTGCTCTTCATATATGGTGGGGGAAAAAGGAAAGCATACAGCTGAGGAATCCAACCCATGACAGAGGGAGGCCAGTTTATCAGAATACTTCATCTAAAGAGATTCATGTCTTTGACAACGCCATGTCAGCTCAGGCAGGTGAGGCGGCTGACCAGGTGTGTGTGTGTGTGTGTGTGTGTGTGAGAGAGAGGGTGCAAGAGTTGATTGATTAAAATGAGTCATACAAAATGGAGAACCATGATTTGAGTGTGGATGAAATGTTCTGAGAAAATGTCTCCTGGAGATAAAATACAAAGTCCAGAAAGAAAAGACAAGAGAGAATGCCAAAGGTTCCTGGGAACTGTTAATTAAAAATATAAAAAAATGGCACTGATAGTAGAACAATGGTTTTAAGAGAGGGTTGTACACAAAGCTGAGCATGGAGAAAAGAAAAAAAAAAAACATTTCTAGAGAGACACCAAATTAAAACCAATTTTTGTAAAAATGAAGAAATAAATAAATAAAATGCAAAAAAGGCATTTTTGCTTTAGGGGGAAAGTGTCTGAGGGAAAATAGATTCTCCAAACTTACTGCTTTTTTGTTTTCCTTTTTTTCTTTTACTGTTGCTTTATTCAGTAGAGAGTGGCAAGTAGCCTACAGAACAGAGATGAGCACAATCATGGTCACAGCACCAGCTCTACACACACACACACGCACACGCACACAGGTAGCACAGCCCTTAACCACTCAAGATGTACGCATAGTCACATGTGGAAAAACACAGGAAAATCAAAACTGCTATTAGAAAAGTGTTCATCACCGCTCAGAGGACTTGAAGCGTGTCCATGCATGCACTAGCGTGGTTTGACTTCAGCAGACTGTATTAGTTTGTGTATGTGTGTGTGTGTGTGTGTGCCTACAGAGTTGCAAAGGGAAATCCAAGATGGAGAATGACAAATCAAAGATGTCAACACATGGGAAAAAAACATAAGTTGTGATCAAAAACCCAGACCCTGTTTTATGCGCGTGGGTGTAGAGCATTCTGAATCAGTAATAAATGTAACACCTTAATGATAAAGTCTATTCATCCTGTGGTTGAGTGTGAGTAGATAGAGCTGAGAGGCTTCCTGCTCACTGTGATAATGTGGAGACCGGAGCAGTGGCAGTGGCAGCAGCAACAGCAGCAGCAGCAGCAGCAGCAGCAGCAGCAGCAGCAGCAGTGTGAGGCTGCTCCGACATTCAGGGAGAAAAGACAGACAAACTGGAGATGGTGTGTGTGCCCTGAGGTTAGACTATAATATCATTCGGGAGATATATTTAATGATATAGGCCAGTCAGTTGCTATAATCACACCTAATTCATAATTTTTTGGCATGGACAGTAGGGACATGTCCCCTACCATACCCTAATCATTTCAAGTCTACATTAAAACTCCACAGGGTTAACTGTTTTCTGAGAAAAGAAAGCCATGCTAATGGACAGAGAGAGAGTGAAATATGTGATAATTGTTCTGATCTGACAACCCTCTGGCTATAATACATTGTCCATGGGATGAATGTACAGTGGCAAAATGAGAGCAGACTGTATTCATAGCTGATATGACTAACCAGTCACATTTCAGTGGCCGAGTGTTAGCTAATTTGTGTTCATAACAGCAAGCAACTTTATTATTGTGGGTGAAAATGCCCTCAGAAAACAACAGATGGAGGTTGTCACCAGAGGTAGGGGACTCAAGTCACATGACTTGACTTTGAGTCTTCTGACTTTCATCAGGGAATTGACTTGCTTGATTTTCACCACGGTGACTTGGGACTTGCTTGAGATATAAAGGTTATGACTTGAAACTTGCTTATGACTTGCACATGTGTGACTTACTCCCACCTCTGGTCATCACATTCTTCTGTAAAAGATCCAAAGTTGAAGCAAACCTACACCCTTGGTATTGCTGCAAGCTGAACAATGCACAGCCGCTATGTGTTTCATTTGCATAGCCAGTGCAGTTCACTGCCATGATAGTATTGCATGTATGTGCTGAATGTTCTGCTAAAAACTTGAGCTAATGTAAAAGTATGGACTGGGTGGTTGTAAATCTTTCTCCAAGGAGTGCCCTGCTGACCTCGGGGTTAAAGTACTGTAGTGACTTGAAAGCCCTCAGTTCACACCCTTCCAGAGACCTTTATTGCATGTTGTTCACATCTGTCTTTCTCCCATAGTTTCCTGTCATCTTCCTACTGTTGGCTATGAAAATATAAAGGACCAGAATGCTCCCCAAAGAATGCTTGTGCATCATTTCAGATCTTGATAATGGTCAGGCGATATGGCAGACACAGATGACTTCTTTCCCCACTCAGTGGATCCAACAGAACCACAGAGCAGAGTCTGGGCTGACACCATGGCAATGCAAAGGATTAGGTGTGATCACACTGTTTTCACCATCACGTCTGACAGAGGAATCATTGCAGTGTGGTCTGGGAGAATGTCACCCAACAGTCTATAAAACTGGCAAACAAGCCTGCCTTACCCCATCTGAACTTGTTTTTCTTCAACCAGAGCCTCATCTTCCTAGTTTTTGCCATTGCCAGTAAGGCCCCATCTCCACCTGCGGATCTGGATCTGTTATCCAGATAATAGCACTGCATCACAGAGGCCTCTAACTGTTGCTCATGAGCACACAAAGCTGAGGAACATCACTGTTGAGACAGTCAGGAATGGCAGGCGCCTGGAATGTCTCTGGTCAGCATTTACTGCATGCTATATGTTGCAACAACAGCTACCTTTTTACTTTCTGTGTGTCTGTCTGTGCTTTGTTTTTGGTGGGGAGATGTGAGCCATACATCAACACAACAGCACTATAATGTAAATACTATTGTCATGTTTCAAACTCTGTCACATGGATTTGGATTTGCGCTCTGACATCTGAGTTGATGTCAATGATGTCAACTTCTTTGTCATTTTGACAGTAATGTAGCCTACAGTGAACTACATACTTGGCAATTATGTTCAGATGTACTGTGGATATTTATGACATCACTCCATCAGGCAGCTGTTTTTATTAATGGCACTAAGTATGTATTAGTTCAGATACATTTACTACAATATACAAATATTTAATTCAGCCAAATGAAGGACGTGTAACTCAGTATCTGTGTATGGACTTATTCAAATGGAATCTGGTACTGTAGATATGGAGAGGAAAAATAACCCATTTAAAGTGAGACCTTCTGGTAGTGCCTGCTGTCTACACTGTGATATCTCTGAGTAGAGCTGAAATAATTAGCTGATTAATTGATCAGCAGAAAATTAGGAACAGCGATGGGCATTTTATCAATAGTCTCTGACATTTCATAAACCAAATAATCAATCACTACTCCAAAAGTTACTTGTCAGCTTATTGTAAAATGTAATTCATTTCTAGCTGCAGCCCTATCTGTGTAGTATGCCTGATGTCAATACTTACATTGCATGTAATTTTTAGTCCAACTGGAAAGCAGTACTTCTAATGAACAATGAGGACAGTTCACAATTCACTGTCATGATGGCAAAAGCTAGGAATACAAGGCCCTGTTTCAGAATCACTTCCAGGTTTAGTGCCATGGTGCTTCAGGGGTTTTTTAACATATCGAAAATCTTGAGGAGAAACACTGAGCATGTGGAACTTTTGAAAATGAACATAATCAAACAGAAAGGTACTGATGTATTGATCCAGCAGAATGTGTATGGTTGAAAGGCATGTGAGTGGAGAGGCAGAAGCTTGAAATGTGTTAGTGACACTGCAGACACACAGCTAAAGGCAGAGAGGCTGGGTGAGCAGCTGAGGGCCATGGTGGAATGGTGGGAAGGGGTCTACCTGGTAAAGACAGTGGCAGACACTGCGGAGCTGTGGAGGAAACTCGCTGGATGAACCAATGATAGCCTGGAAGAACCGCTCAGTGATTTGAAGTAGGTTCCTCTGATTCTCCTCCAGGTTCTCCCCTTGTTCCAGCCTGATGAGACAAACAGGGAGCTCCTATCAGCAAGGCTTTCAATTGTTAGGCTTCAAGTTCCAAAGACAATGCAGTCTACTTTGTTTACAATTTATTGACAAATTGCCTTATTAAAGTGTCAGTTATGAATCAAACATGAATTTATTGTGAGCACATATGAGGAACCAGACTTTTCTGTAGTTCTCAATGCACTTACACAGACTAGACACACAGCTAAAAATGACACTGAAAAAGGTGAACAGAAACACTTGACTGTAGTAGACACTGACGACTATCTACAGGTATCTTTAGATATACATTTCTATCTATCTATCTATAAAACTAGAAATTAATTATAATGTACTGCCAATGTATATGAGCATAGCAAATATCTGCACATTCAGTATCCTGCCACTTACCTGGTGGGGTCCACCTCAAAGCTGATGTGTTCAGGGGTGGTGATGACCCCTCTTAATAAAGGCTCCAGTAGCTTCTGCAGGTATGCTGCCCCATAAACCTGACAGAGGACAACATCAAATTCTGTCAATACTACACACACAACAAGTCATATTAGACAGGTGTTTTAGGTCAGACATAGATATTTCTAATTATTTCATGGCAGGGGTTGTACTGTGTTTCCTACCTTGAAACAGAAGGTCATTATTTTGCTAGCAAGGCTGTTTCCTCTGAAGAGAGTCTGCATGGAGTCAGCCAGCTCCACCTCTTTAGAGAACATGTTCCACAGCAGCTGGTATAGGAGGTGGCGGGAGTCAAACAGCGTCACCAGGACTCGGGCTAGCTCATCCTGGAAATACAAACAACACATATATGTCACTGCTGGAAAAAAAGGAAATATGGAGATATGGAGATAAAAATGGAGATATATTAATGCAACATTTTAGACTACTGAATTCCACATGCATGCACTGTATGTTTTACCATACCTGTGCTGACCAGTCACCATAAACCTTTCAGGACTAAAATATTTCTAATGCCTGGTACACACTACACAATATCAGCCCGATTCTAGCCCGACACAGCGACGTACGGTGTCGGCATTGAGTGTTGTACATAATAATCCATCGTTTAATCTCATGTAGTATGTCATAGTTAACGACAACTGACGCCACGTCTGGGTCACCTCACAACGTTCCAACAGAAAGTCTAGCATGTTTGACTTTCTTTTTCTCTTTCACAACTGCCCCCATCACAGTTGACACTTTGACCAATAGGAACACAGAGCGATCTGCTGCCTTAGACAACTGTATGACAACAACAGCCCAGCCTTTTTGATATTTCCTCTATAGGGATGTTACCACAACAGAGTAAAAGAGTAAACAGGGAAAAATGCCAGCGTGAAACAGCAGAGGCACTTTATCAACCTGGTGAGTACTGCCATTAGCGTCAAGCTAGCAAAGAGTGTTATTTCTTCATAATGGAGATGGACATAATCTAAGGAAATTAAAAACAGTGGCTTTTACTCACCACAGCTGCAGAGGCTACCAGCTTCATTGGAAACAGACTACATTATAAACGAGCCGTTATTCATTATTCCCTCTGTATTTTTATATTTTACTTTTTATCTACTCCCGTTTGCCTTGATAAAGTTATCGCATCGTGCCGTCATTTCAAACTCAACATTTCCTGTATCTGTTTCAAATTAAAAGCCCCTTATAAATTCAGTTGAGAGAATCCCTTCATTTTCTAAATAGGCTTTTATTGTGAAAGATTTACAGGAACTTGTTGCAAAAGATTCAATGACTTGTATGTTTGCATATGGTACTTCAAATGTAGCTCCTGCCATCTGCTGGCACTTTATTACATTACTACAACATTTCAGCTGGCACATGGACAGACACAGTGACTAAAATAGTAGTAAAAGTAATAACAATAGGACAAGAATAACCCGATGACATCACACACGTTGTGAAAGATAACCGGGGATGATTGGTGTGGACCATCGTGTAGTGTCATGTCTGTTGGCCAAGTCACAGCACGATTTTATGACTCCACAATCACGTAATGTGACATTGTGACTGTTGGAACAGACAGAAATGTCATGTAGTGTGTACGCGGCATAAGTCTGAGCATATGTTGGTATTTAAGTTTTACACCAACTATCAACCTAATGTTTTAAAGCAATCCTAAATCAAGAAGAGATACACACCCACTGGGACCCTGGAACCACATTAGCCAGTGCCATGGCGATGGGCAGCTCTCCCTGGTCTCCCATCATGGTGACCAGCTCCACTAGCCGCTCAAAACGGTCAGCCAGAACTGTCTCTGCCAGCGTGTCGAACTCTGTTCCTTGCTGTAGGATCTTGGTCAGCACTTCCATGAAGGTAGCTCGAGTCTGCAGGTCCTTGTGGTAGCCCAGACCTGGGCAGGAAAAATGGGAAAAGTCTTTTGGTAACTTCTATGTAGAAAGCCACAACAGTTAATACTGCGGCTGCCTTACCAATAGAGTGCATGAGGCCGCTGTCCACGTTAGCATTGAGCAGGTTGGACATGGCCAGAACCGTGCAGTGGCGGAGGGAGGCCAGACGGCGGGACATTCCTCTCTTTCGTCCCCCCACTGCCTGGCCCTCATCCTCCACCTCACTGCAGTCATTCAGCAGGTTCATGAACAGGGTGAAGTACCTGCACACCACCACAAACAACAACAGCTTATTCATCAGAAAAGGCTTGTCCATGTTCTTCATCGCCACTCGAGAGGGCCAATTTGTCCTTTAGCTCAATATATTCAAAAGCTTTGATTTTACACATTTTCCTGTTGCTTCACATTTCAGTCATCCACCTGTATTTGTCAACACAATATGTAATCAGTGCATGCTGGAGTTTGGCTGGTTGAAATGTGTTTTTACATGGTTGTGACTTTGGACCTGGGGTTTCTACTGATACTCTTGTGAAGCAGACTGGATGCCCTGTACTCCACTCCCTAGATTCTTTCAGAAAATGATAAGCACAGCAACAGACCTCATTCATACATATTGCATGCAAAGCCATCATCATCATGAGCCAAAATAACTTTTTACTAAGTTCCAGAGGGCTGGAATCAGCCCAACAATTCCACAACACACAACAATAATGTGGAACAGAGGACACCCACAACCTATGGGCCACAAGAAGATATTCTGCATCACACTGCGTCCTTTGTCCACCATCCCTCACCTTATTTTATTGTTACTGTTTTTTAATCAATACATCATAGGTCAGTTGTTTTGTTGTATAATTAGGATCTTTGGACATGATGATAATTGAGATAAATAAATCGTTAAATCATTGCCACTTTTCTATGCAGTGTATGATGCTGCTTAAATAACAGTCAGAAAGGCTGACTGACATGTATCATCCCAGCCCTATTGCCTTCCAGTCTGTCTGTCTTGTTACACTAATTGACACATTCGAGTGATGCCGTTGTACCACAACCCAACACAACACGAAATTTCGAAGTGCTTTCCTGCAATAACAGCCCCACTCAACGTCATATGACACCTAAGAGCTGCCTCTGACCACAACTCCATACCTCACACAGATACATTCACATGTTTGTCCCCACTCTTTGATAGTGTTTAAAATATGCTGTTTCAGGTGTCCTCATAAAAACTGTGTGCTGTATCTTTGAATATGCTAAAATTATTGTAAACTTTTGTTAAGATTAATTTATGATCAGATGTTACAGTGCCACAGAGGAGGGTGATTGCAGGTGTGTTTTTACTTAAGGAAGAGCTGAGATTTGGCCTCCATCAGTTCGACTCCATCTCCCTCCTCTGGCTGAAGAGGAAGACCAGCCAACAGCGACACTACTGCTTCCATACTGGCCTGATCCAGGTCCCTGCACATTGTACACGCACGCACACGCACACGCACACACACACACACAAAGGAAACACTCATGAGGGGAGAGCTCTCTCAGTTCGGTACAATGCATTAGTTGAGTTGAGGGCATGAAACAGAGCTGCACCTTGTCAGACACTTGATGTCATCATCAGCAGCTTGGTTGGAGGTTCCCATCACCCAGTCAGTCAAATATTCCACCATCTTGTTCCTATAAATGACAGCAGGAGTAAAACATTCCAAAGTGACCCAAGGGGAATAAATAAAACCGTAAACCAGGTTTTCAGTTTGCTGTTACGTTGTCATCCATTGTATTTAATTCATATGTTTATATCCTGCTAAGAGCTTTGAAGCTCTAGTAAATAGACAGAAATGTAAGTGGTGTGGCATCATTGTCAATGACCAATAAACATTCAGAGTGATGAGTGGATACCTAATAATCAACTGCTGTCACTGACCTGAATTTCATCTCCTGGCAAAAGGACAGGTCATCTCGTCTCTCCATCATCACCTCCACCAGCTGGCACAGCTTTGTTTTGATCTGGATCGCATGGACCACATTGCCCAGGATGCGCACATACCTGAGAGATGGAGCACAGCTCAATTCACCTCAGAGCACTAGGTTCTGTCCTTGAGTCGAAATACCATGAAACTTAGTTTTTCACCATGTTAGCTACTTGTAGGCAAGCTTTTGGCAATCAAAAATATTTTGAGGAAATAAAATACTTTAGGTGTAAACAGCAGGTTCAATTCAGAACTTGTCTTGTATTTTAGTCTTTAATGTTTGATTTCCATACTTGTTTTGTTAAGCACATGTTCTTATAATGGTTTTATGTTTAGAATAGTTTAAAGCCCAGTTTAGACAAAGATTCCCAATGTGATGACACTGTTTTAGAATGAGGCAGAAAAAAGTTGCAGCAGAGTGAACTGGCCGGTCTGAGCTCGACTCAAGCCGGCTGATGGTGTCACCTGCAACTCAGCTGGTCAAATCGCACGTGGCTGGTTTCAGAACGTAAAGCTTGTCACCTGTTTCAACAGCCAATCAGCTTATAGTGATGTCTGCTGGTCAAGTCAAAATGACCGCAGATGGTGTGTTCGCTTGCTGTGGAAGGTACTCCATTCCTGGAGACCCTTCTGTTTCCGCCCCCACGGTGTGCTGGTGTCAGATTGTGGGTTGCTGTTGCTGTGCTTATGCCGCCCAGAAAAACACACACACACACACACACACACACACACACACACACACACACACACACACACACACACTCATCGACCGAGTAATTGGCACTGGTTATTTATATTATTGTGGTATATTTATTATGAATACAGTCCATCTGATGTTCGTTTGGTTTCTGTTTTTCACTATTTCATCACTACTACAAATGCAACAGTCGCCAGCATCTCACTATCACTATTCTCATTCATAGTTCAGTGGTGTTCATTATGATGAACTGATAATGACTTCAGTTGTTCTTTTATCTCAGACATGTGTTAGGATGTTACATACCTTGACACGTTTTGGCGGAAACTTCCGCCTTCCTCAGAAGTATCACTTGGTGGTGGTTGTGACACATCTTTATCTGCTGATCTGTCAATCAGCTGATATATTGAAATAAGGAAGCGGGGCCCAGGGACGATGAACAGGGACGAGGGGGCATACATGCTCTCCCACACCTGGAGCAGTGTCCTGGAGAGGCAGCAGACGGACAGCAGGTGGTGTGATCGTCCTGTCAGTTTTGACAGGACGATCACGTCTCCCTAATATCAGCTGATTGACAGATCAGCGGATAAAGACCATCACAACCACCACCAAGTGACACTTCTGAGGAAGGCGGAAGTTTCCGCCAAAACATGTCAAGGTATGTAACATCCTAACACGTCTGAGATAAAAGAACAACTAAAGTCATTATCCTCATTCATATTTTAAGAAGCTAAAAATTATGTCTAGCCACAAAATAAGCCTGAAAAGCTGGAAATTAGAACATAAGTACAGAGAGATGTTGCAAAGAGATGATACCCCGGCTCATCTAGTTGCATTGGTGTGAACTGGCAGGTTTTTAGAATGTTGCAGAATGGCACATTGCAAGTTGTTGCCTGTTTCAACTCATCTCGTCATGAATCTTTCGTCTGAACAGGGCTTAAGAAAAAGTTTTCCACTCGGGTGAAAAAGAAAAGGTTTTATTTTTGATTCTGTAGCAATTGAAAAGTATACGCCAAGTGCTGGATATACAGAATGTTACAGCATTTTGTTGCTGTTGTTGTTATTTTTCCACTTGAGTATGGAACGATCATGACTTTTTCTTTTTTTGAATCACTGCTGAAGCATCCAAAGGGTCCACATGTTACAAAAGGGTCTTTACACCATTTTACATTATTTGGGATCAGGCCTGCCAACGGAGCAACGGAATGTAATACATTCAGAGATCAGAGATGGTGGCTCATGGACTAACTTACTGTGGTGGCTGACAGATTGATCAACCAAATGAGCAAAAGGATTATTTTCCAACGGAAGAGGAGCTACATGGGGCACCACTGCCCCCTCCAAATGTATCAGATCAAAAAGTTCTCTGAGATCTGTGGTGAAAAGTAGTAAAACTACTACAACAGTAATCTCACAAATCAGAATGATTACTTTTGTTATGGTCAGTATGAGTATTTCATATCAGTGCATTACACAGAGACTGAATGAAGCTTGTGTTTGACCAGTCAGTGACAGGTACTCAGCCATACTGACCTGACCAGGTTGAGCATCATGGTCTCAATGCTGGCCTGCCCCAGGTGTTCAGAGCTGCCCTCTGTGTGGTTATCTAACAGGTTCTTCATGATGGCTATGGTCTGCTCCACAAACTGGGTGTTAGTTTCATTAATGGGAACCTGGAAACAGGAGACGCACTCAGTACATTTCAGACAAAAACATTACTGGGGTTAGAGGATAAATCTAACTAACAGAAAAAGTGAGATCGTCTTAAAATGTTTTAGAAAACCTAGTTTATATGTGGATTACTAGTTTTTTCATTGCTCCAATTTGGGATGAGGTTAATATTTGCCCACCAAAATGTTGAATTTACTACACTCATCAGGTCCATTTCTTTTGATACCAGGATAAAAATCAAACTGTGAGCCTGAAGGATTGGAACTCCACTCACCGGTCCTTGTGTGTCAAAGAACTTGCCAATGCTGTTCCTCAGCTTGTTGAAGAGCATGGGGTAGAGGGCGGGGCTGAGTTCCAGCCCCAGCAGGTCTTTCACATTTGTGCGAACATGGAGGCCAACCCTGTCATGACCACACACCAGCAGGGCCAGTAGCCTGTCCAAGAAGCGGCTGACGGGCGTCTCACAGGAGGCCGATGAGGAGCAGGAAGAGGCTGAGGCCACAGGGTTAGACACATCGCAGGGGCCCATGGAGACCATGGAGTGTTTTCGCTCGCTCATGGGGCCCATAGGTGGGCTGTAGGTGGCTGGGCCGGGGGTGCTGCGCTGCTGAAGACACACACCACCAAGTGCACACAGGAATCCTGTCATGTTGATCCACTCCTGCTGTGGGAAAACACAAAGACACTGAACGGCAGGAGCACAACACCAGAGTGTGTATTATTCTACACTGTCTCTATTTCCACAATGCACAGGTCCCCACCTGAAGTTCAACACGCAAAAACAAACTGAGATATCTAAACTGGTGCCAACTAAGTAATTTTCTTCCTAAAAGTGAGCATAGAGACAACTCTAGATACTAGCTCCCCTCCCTCGAAGAGAGTCAGCAACATTCCTGTGTAACTGAGCACTCCTCCTGCCCACTGTAGCTGCAGCTGTGCTCACTGAATGGAGAGTAGCAGCACCTTAAGTTGAGCAATCATCAGCCAGACAGAAACATGAATGAGCTGTAAATGTGTTAAATCCCAATGACCATTCACTAACCCCCACTGTTTGCCAAAGAAACTCCTCCTCCTTTGTTTTTGTTCTAAACTATTTATCTTTACTGCTGATTTACAAATACACTCTTATGTGTCTGAATGTCCTCTATTCATGACACTTCAGATCTGCAGTCTGTGCAACAGCCTACATACAAAGTTAATCATATTGCAGGTAGATTTAGACTCATAGATGTTATGATAGCAGTATTGTATAATGGTGGACCAGTTTTTATTTCTGTTATGATAATGAAACAATAATGAAAACAAGATCACTGAGATAAAATAATTATTGAGCCACATTCCATTTTGCAAGGATGCTCACGTTTTGTCCTGCGGATATCTATCCACACTCCCATAGACCGTATGTCTAAGAGAATACCAAATGAAAGCATGTAATCAAAGTATTTTAGCTCCACTAAAAAAGGGCTTTCACATCAGTCAGTCCACTGGGCCTGCCCTGTATAAAGGAGCACAAGCTGCAGTTCAAGATTTATCAACAGCTCTGAGTATTATGCTAGACAATTACATTACATTACTGACATTTGTGCTGTTTATTTTTATTGACAATATGCCAATATTTGAATGCCTTGAAGTTTACAGAAAGAATAAGGCAATCAGCCACCTATGGTTGAATTATATTAAAGCTCAAGACAATCCACTGCTAAGTTTTTTAAAGTTTAATAAATGCATGATGTTTCCAAAGTCAAGTCAAGAATCCTGATCTCAATACTGATCAAAATAATTGTAATTATGAGTTTTTACATAATCACAAAGCTCTAGTGTAATACATATTCAAATAATGTATGATGTCATCTGGTGACTTTTTTTGAGTCACATGGAAGAAGTCAGTCCTCACGGCTTTGTAGCAGAAATCTATTCCTTTTGAACCCAAAACACTATCGTTTTCCTAAACCTACCCAACATCAGGCTTATTGGCAGAAGGCTCTGAAGGCAGACTTCTCCAAACAGCCTCTCTGAGCAGGTTTTAGCTACTTTCTATAGAAAACAGTTGGCAGCACTGGTATTATGAACCACTGTTAAACAGTCAACCTCAGCTTCAGCAGGCTGTTAGCAGGCCAGGAGAGAAAAACTACTGAAGTGCAAAAGTTTGAAGGTTGAGGTACGGCTTTTCTGACAGACACTGGAACTAAATAAAACTACACAGCCCCCACATAAATTTAATGAGACCACTGCACCTGCACAGAGTGTCACACCAGTGTAAACCTCATTATCTGTCTGACTACATTTTATCTGTCTGACTACATGGTGCAAATCCAATGAGCTGCTAGTTTGTTTCATTATACATGAGCCCCGTGGTGAATGTATCAAAAGGGGGCACAGAAGGGATTGACATGAGCCTTGTGGCAGGTTGGAGTTGAAAAAGGGAACAACATCAAATACATTTTTAATCTACACAAAAATCAATAACATCAGACATAAATTCAAAACACCACACAATTATCTAGAGAGCAACAGAGTTTACTAAAATAACTAAACTAATGAGGAATAGAGTCAAAGAATTAGAGGAGAAATCAAATGCCCTCCTCCTGAGTGGAAAACAGAACTGGTGGCACAGACCTCTGCTTTATATTTGGATTAACTTTTTTTTAATTGTATTTTTACTGCATTTGCCTCAGTGCTTTACTAAGATTAGATATATGGGCTGGTGTATAAAGATGGTTTGTGTACATTTTGATGTATCTTATTATGCCACTCCATTTTCTTTTCTTTCCTCAGCACTTTATTACATTTAAAATGACTTTCAGTGTGTGCATGTGGGTATCCCTGCTGCCTCTGTTCCTCTACACCTCTGGTTTTCCATGCGTTCTAATTGGATACTGTCTGTGCTCTCTCACTGGATACTGTCTGTGCTCTCTTATTGGATACTGTCCATCAGACGTTGCGCTATACATTTTTACATCGCCAGTCATTTTCACCGACAGGGTCATAAAAATCCGGTCATAATCTATTTTTACCAGTCATTTTAATTTTTGTTTTTAAAATAAAGATATTCAAAGACATTTAGTTTTCATTCGTTTGTTTTTAATAAATCCAACAAGCAAGTTATAAAGTGTGCATTAATAAGGACATGAACGAAAAGATGAACAGACATCCACACACTGCAGTGCTTCAGTTCGGCGTCTGGTCTATTTTTCACGCGAGCCGCGAGCGCTTCTGTCAAGCTGGATAGAGCAGATCATACCAAACAGGAAGTCGGACACAGAAAAGACGAGAGAATCCGGCCAATTTTTTCAAAATAAAATAACAACAGCATGCACTGAGGAACGTGAGGAGAAAATACCATGTTTATAATTTAAAATAACACGGACTTCCGGATGTGCTTTGCCGTGTGAAGACGTGCGTGCGGAAGCTCCATGTAAAAGTAGTCAGAAAATATTAATATCGCCATATTTCTACCATTCTGGGGGGTTGGGCAAATAACGTTTTATTTTGGGAGCTAACAAGTGCACTTTTAGTGCAGTTTAAGACCGAAAATGACTTCTCGGTCGACTCGAGCGGGTGGAGAGAAGCAGCACGTGGTTAGCAACATGGCCTCCTCAGCTAACAAGGACACTGTTAGCCCAATACCTGTTGACACTGGCATACCTCAATGGGCTAAGGATATGATGTCCGAGATTAAAAAAGCCAACGATGGAATTGCGAAATACAGAGAGGAGACAAAGACCGACATCGTGAGGTGTAAGGAGGAAATAGAAAAGGGAAGAAAAGAGACGAAGGTCGAGATGGAAAAATGGACTAAGAGTTTGGAAGAGAGCACTAAAGCCCAGTTTGAGTTGCTACGTGGGCAGGTGAAGCTGATTGGCGATAAAACTAGCAGTCTGGCTAACAGGATGGTCGAATGGAAAAAAGAGGTGGATGAAACGTTAAATGAGCAGTCTGACGCCATAACAGACATGTGGACAAGATTGAAAGAAATGGAGAAAGAGATACTGAAGCTGAGGGGACGAAGTGAAGATCTCGAGGCACGATAACGACGCAACAACATACGTGTCGTGGGGGTAAGAGAAGGGGCCGAGGCAGGCAAAAAGCCGTCAGAATTCATGGCTGGTTTACTGAAAGAAAAGTTGGGACTAGCAGCAACACCGACGCTGGACCGAGCACACCGGGCACTCGGCGCGAGACGAGACGGGAACGGTGTACCTCCGAGAGCATTCGTAGTGAGATGCCATTACTACACAGAGAAAGAGGAGATACTGAAGAAGGCGAGGGAAATGGAGAGAACACCCGAGGGTCGGAGCGGACAGATTCACATCTTCCCGGACTACACCCAGGAGGTAAACAGTAAGAGAGCAGCCTTCAGAGAAGCAAGAAGCCTCCTGCGGACCTGCACAGGGATCAGATAAGGGCTGCATTACCCGGCAACCCTGGTGATCAAGCCAGAAGGAGGACAAACAAAAACCTTCGAGAGCCCAAAGAAAGCCGTGGATTACATCAAAAAGGAGCTGAGACCCGAGAGAAGCCTATGGACTGATTTGATTCTGGCTAAGTAAAAATTTACACATGCTTTCACTGTTGAAATGGGATGACTAATATAGGCAGGCTATTGTTGATTAACCTGATAATACTGACAAAGTAATATTTGATTTCAGTGTATATTTTAAGATATACATTTATATTATATTTTAAGAGAAGATATACAGTACAGGCCAAAAGTTTGGACACACCTTCTCATTCAATGCGTTTTCTTTATTTTCATGACTATTTACATTGTAGATTCTCACTGAATGCATCAAAACTATGAATGAATACATGTGGAGTTATGTACTTAACAAAAAAGGTGAAATAACTGAAAACATGTTTTATATTCTAGTTTCTTCAAAATAGCCACCATTTGCTCTGATTACTGCTTTGCACACTCTTGGCATTCTCTCCATGAGCTTCAAGAGGTAGTCACCTGAAATGGTTTCCACTTCACAGGTGTGCCTTATTAGGGTTAATTAGTGGAATTTCTTGCTTTATCAATGGGGTTGGGACCATCAGTTGTGTTGTGCAGAAGTCAGGTTAATACACAGCCGACAGCCCTATTGGACAACTGTTAAAATTCATATTATGGCAAGAACCAATCAGCTAACTAAAGAAAAACCAGTGGCCATCATTACTTTAAGAAATGAAGGTCAGTCAGTCCGGAAAATTGCAAAAACTTTAAATGTGTCCCCAAGTGGAGTCGCAAAAACCATCAAGCGCTACAAC